AGAGAGTGCTAGATTGCATCTCACGAATAGCGTAAAACGTTTAGTCTATACTCTGCTGTCACATAAAAAAAAAAAAAAAATTTGTGAGTTTTACTCATGCGCTGCGCGAGGTAGTTCTTACCAGACTTGGTTGTCGGAAGAAAGGATGCTTTTGGCGTTTGGATGGTGTGCGTCTCGATAAAATAAAATGAAGTTAATCCGCCTATAAGGCATCTTAATCCAAAACAGGAAAAAAATTAATAACGTTCCCAAAAAAAAAAAAAAAAAAAAAAAAAAAAGATTCTTTCGGTTTTTGAGGTGAATGCGAGATAGGAAATGTTTGCCTGATAGACGGCGCCAGTGTGTTCGCTATTGTGCCTGGATTTGAGAGTGTTTACGACTGCTCGATCGGGGGTCACGTGGTTAATGGGCCGCGTCTGCAGTACGGGGCGCGCGAAGCGGAAGAGAAAGCTTAATTGGATCGCCTGCAACCGCCTCTGAACTTTTGCTCAGCCTCTCCACCCGCCGTCCTCCTCTCCGCGTGGCAACGCGCGCGTGCGTGCTTGAACATCCAACTGGCACAGGAAGTGTCCGCCATTGCAATTCCGAACTCTCTCTTTCCGTAGTTCGAGAGGCTCCCTCTCTTGAATCTGGGTTAGTCTGGTCTTCTCTCGTCGCAAACGGTCACAAACTGACGTCGCTGCAACGCAGGTGATCACAGTGAAACGGCAATGTGTGCATTAGTAATGCCTCAGTGTAAGACAGCGTTGTCTCGACAACGACACTGTCCTTGGCTGGTAAACAAATAAAAAAAAAAGAAATCACCCATAGTTCGCGCCTATAGATAGTCCGCACAGCGCAGAATATAAACTTCTAAATATGCATGTAGACCGTGGGCTAGAAACCTGAAAATAGGGTAATTAGAATTCCTACAATAGCGCATAAAAAGTAATTCACTGGAATTAAGCACTATTACTTTAAAAATGTAATACGATTACATCGCAATTATACTTTCCCTTAAGAGCTATTAGACGTCAATAATGTTCATATGATAGAAATATTCTGCACTGGAATCCAAAACTATACGAAACACACACGAAGAGGACGGACAGGACAAACATCTTTCGTCTTCATCCTCTTCGTCTGACTCTTTCGTATATATTTTTAATTTCTTACCAACGCGCTCAATCCAAGTTTACTGGAATCCATTTCTTCGTTTCTTGTGTGACCATTTAGGATTGATTACTTGGCATTTTATATTCGTTACATTGCGTGCCTTTGTTACGCCTACCTTATTACTGAAACGATACGGGAACCATAGGTTTTGAATACGGATATACAGGTCAGTTGTTTTACTATTTTGCAACACCGACGAGATTATTAGTGTTATTCGTATCGAGGCAGGCAGTTCAACGAGAGTAATCTATTCTAGTACGCACTCAAAAATGTAATTGGAGGCTCAGACTTTTAATTATTCTGAGAATGGTCGACAGGAGTTGTGATAAGATACTCAATGTACATATAACAATCCAATTATTTTAATTACTTCTCTCCATCTTGACAATAGAAGGTTCTCTCGCTTCGATAGCTGCTCAGCGAGGCGTAGAAGGTCTGCACACTGGGGTAGTCCCAGCGCTTTCGAACTTCAAAGCACCACGAGCTGGCAGAAGGACAACGATGAGGCAGACGCTCGCCGCACTTTTGCCTTTCGGTAACTCTATAAAACGAAGGTTCAGCCTGACGGAATCATTAAGTAGTAGTGCTAATTGTAATTCGAAATTTTTAATGATCGAGGCGGAAATGTAATTAAACTACAGTTACACATTACCTATAAAAATAATTAAATTACAATAGTTCAATTACTGCAATTGAATTACTGCCCAAGCACGATGCGCTGCTTCCTTTGCTTTTCCACACCATCTCCTTCGAGGAAAAAAATAACCTTAAGGAACTTTATTTCAGGAGTTGAAGAAACGCATGCAAAAAAGGCAATTCCTGGAGAAAAAAAAAACGTTTTATTTTGTATTAGAAATACAACGTCGCAAACACAAAACCGTATCTATCAACGGATGAATAAGTAGTGTGACTTGGAAATGTACAAAGCGGCCGACTCAGAGGAACAAGGCACAAACAATTTTCATGACATGGACTAAACATTTCTTAAGTAAAAAAAAAAAACGATGAAACACAACACATTTAAAACCGACTCCCACCAAGTAGCCACCTATAGAAGTTTCAGTGCTCGTGTTGTTAGCGAATCGTAAGGTTCACAATCACATTGATGCATATAATAATCTTCAAATGCGCTGTACGTGTGTTTAGACAGCGGTAAGACGGCCTGCCACTAAATGAGGAGATTTGTTTCTTCGCTGTACACAATCTGGTCAGTGCACTACGACTCTTAAACTCGGGTCTTTAATATGCAGTAGCCGTTAATGCACTCTCAAAATGTCCAAGCGTCGACATTACCAAAGAGTATTAGAAGAGCCAATTCACTGTGCTTTGCGGAGCCAATTACGCGGAAAAAAAGAGTGCACACCTAAAATGACCTAAGCATGACGCGTGAGACGTCAGGCTCAGTGTAACATTGCAGATCTCACTTTCTTAAGAAACCTTTTTTTCTCCGGTATCATCGGTGATTGGCTGTCAGAGTGATGTGCGGGAAATTCGACGCAGGGGCATGTTTCGAAAGTATTTTAGTTACTGGAACTCTTGACTGTTATGGAACTGTTGACTGTGTAATCAATGAATCGCATCTGAACAAAATATAAAGATGATTTACTCGTGCTTGCAATTATAAAGAAAAAAAAAAACGTGCAAGCCAATTTTTTTTTTTTTTTTTTTTTAATTCCGGAGATGAAAAAAAAAAAAAAAAAGCGGCGTAACTCGTTTTCCTAGATTCTGGCGGCGAGTCACCAACCGCGCGCCGAAATTCTGTTCTGTAAGCAACATGTTGCTTCCGGTATAAAATCAAATCGCACGAAATTAATACTGCGGGCGAATCTGGAGGCACTCTGTGCCGGCGATTTGTTTGTGCCTTGTAGTTGGTCGACCTTAATCCGCGGCGATGGAAGCTCGCAAAACGCAGTCAATGCATCCCGCGGGCCAGTCACATTTCTAAACAAAAACGCTTGCCAAATGTATAGTTTCGACCCAAATAAGAATCCGACCGTTTTAATGCAGCTCACCGAGAAAAACCGAGAGGTGACATGACTGAGCCCATAGGCGCTCTCAAAGTTTACAAAGTGCGCACCGCTGTTGGTGCGATCTCTAAAGTGACATTGCAGCGGCCTGTAAAATTTCTACGGATAAAAAAAAATCAACGGGAACAGGAACATAGAGCACTTTATCAAATTCTTTCTCTACCTATTTGTGTATTAATCCAGGTATTATCCGTGACAGCTTAAGAAAAGCGGGGCGTGGAAAGTCCCCGAACATCTCACTTGCACCTCATTATAGCTCCTCAGCGAATCAGAGTGCGGAATTAGTTAATAAGAATGCCGAAGAACCAGTCACAAAGCAAGAAGCGTCCCTGTTCAAAAAGGCATACGCAGCCGAAACCTCGTTTTCCGGGAATTCCCGAGTACCCGGGAAAGAAGGTTCGGGCTGTTTACGCTCTTTAAACTGTGCCAACGGTATCACGAAAAAGAAAGCAACGCAGATTGTTACTGAAAGCAATCTCCTAACGCTGACATCAATTACACGTTCACAACGGGTTCACCAATGACACCTTTGTGATTACGTCACCTAATCATTAAGCGTCAATGACCTCTCCCCCCCCCCCCCCTCCCCCTTCCCCCACTCAAGAAAAAAAAAAAAGAAAAAACGAAAACGTGAAATTGATTATCGCGCACGCGCAGCTTGCTCAGTGCATGCATTCCGTGAAAACTCCCAGCCACCTCGGCCTGCAGCAGTATCTATATATAGCATACGCGAGTGTTTGGCCGCACGAAACATGAAGTGGATTTGTTTTCTTAAATCTACTAGGCAAAACAGTGTTCGCGAGGAACTTGCACGGCACTACTTTATGATGCAACAATTTGCAACGTTACCGGAACGCGCCCCGCGTGCTTTTCGACTGCATGTTTCACAGCGTCGAATCAAATCGCAGCCTCACATTTTCCAGCTTCCGTGCGCTGTATACTGACACCTGTTCCGGCCTAACGCACAAGAGAAAGCTATTGCGCGATTGGTGCATAAACTTCCCTTCGGTTTAAACAATTCCAAGCGCGACGAGTTTTCAGGAACCCACGAATTGCAAGCACGTGACGTACGATTTTACGTTCTGGGACACTGGATGCTCAGACATTAGCGCGACTGTTATATATATATATGATATTGGATTGAACAAATACTGAAAAATGAGTTACGAGTAAAGAACAAAATTTGGAAACACTCTATGGTCAGATGCGTTCTCATTATCATTACTCTTATCCCAATACACAAGCTATGTATAAAATGCAAACAAACTCTCCTCCTGCTCACCATAAAAAGGAACGTAACCGCGGGATACTGCACACGACACTTCTCAAAGATTTGTTGTATTTTCGTTTTCTTTTCTTTTTTTTCGCTATTTTCTTGTTTAGTCACTGGACGCGTTTTTAATGTCCTACAGCGGAAAATCTCTTACCGCCAAGCCCGGCAGAACAATCAAAACTCAACCGAAATTGTCTTGAGGCCAACGCCTCACAAGGCTCCTTCTTTCCGAGCGCGTGCTCTCCCATGCCAGCGAACTCAGACGGAGCAGCTCTCCATACTGTCTGCGTGCACACAGCTAGGATGGTCTGCTCCGTCGGCGTTGGCTGTGTGCCATTGTCATACACGGAACCGCATGACCGTACCTGCTCTGGCGTTCCACACGCTCATCTGTGACCAGCGGTGCGCGACCCGTCCACACGGAGTCACATCTGTGTTCATGAAGTTTGCGAGCCAGGCGGGTGGGCACCGCGTGCCGACAGCAAGCAATGAGACGCCGGCTCCGGCCGTGAGAGAGCGTAGGCCTAACAGACACAGCCGCTTACCTGGCACCGTGGCGTCGATGGCCATGGCGGCAGCGGGGACGCCCTGCACGATGACGCTTCCCAGAGGTGCGGACGAGGCACAGCCAGGCTGCCCCAGCAAGCCCGCCGTCGCTCCACTCTGCTCTTCGTTCATAATGGGCCCGTCGCTCTACTAATGGGACGGAGAGATACTCGGGGGTCAAACTTCACATGGAGGCTCTGGCGGGTAACAAAGGCGATCGCCCGTCACCTTGTCGAGTTGGGAAAGCCACGTGACCCAACGCTGCTGCGGGATGGCCTTATCGGGGAAACACCGTTATCGGGAACGTCGTTAATCTGCGCGCAGGGTCTTGTTTACCCAAGATGGCGCGCGGCGACAAGCGCACACAAGGGCGTCGTCTCTGCATGCACCGACTACAATAGCTGGCGCGCATACACGCAGCACGCCTGGCTTGGAAACCGGACGCGGGCGGTCCTGGTGGAGCGTCTGGAGCCCGCGGTCACCATGCAGCCGCGCAGGACCTCCTCGGCGGCCATGAGGTGTGCCGGAGAGCTGCGATCTAAAGCGCACCCCGTGATTCTATTTCCCCGTAGAGCGCGCGGGGAACCAATCACAGCGTTCGACGGAGGGAGGTGTCCAGCGAATGACAAGGCCCGATACAGTGTCCCAGCGCAGACGGCAATTCTGGGACCGTCCCTCGCAAACCGTATACATTATTTGATTCCGTGGTCTCACGGAATGCACTACTCATATCCCCTTGAGGAAGCGTCGACTGTGATCTGGTGTATATACTCTAAAAAGAAAAAATCCCGTGCGTCTACTTTGCCGCACAACACTGGGAGAGTCAATCACCGCAACTTACGGAGGCAGCTCAGCGAATGACGATGCCCAAACATGTTTAGACCGAAAAACGCAGTCTGAGTTGTGACATTAGGCAATGCATGTGTGACGTTTTGCATTGCTTTATGTCACAACTCAGACTGCGTTGTTTGGTCTAAATATGTGTTTCGTCATCCACATTCGCTGAGCTGACTCCGTAAGTTGCGGTGATTGGCTCTCCGGGTGTTGTGCGGGTGAGTAGACCCGCGGGCTTTTCTTGGATGCAGCCGTGATCAGGAGTCATTTTAAAACATCAGTGACGCATGCCAACTATTTTTTTATTCGATAACAGGATTTGTACAGGGAGACTGAACATGTGAGACTGTACTTCTCAACACATCTCGCGTTATTATAGGCCGGTTTCATCAGCCACTGTTCATGGGACCTGATAAACTTATTAAAGGACCAATGCAACAATATTTGTACTTTGCGCAAATACCGCTTAAAACGGATCCCTAACGTTAATGACCTATGAAACACGCGTTCGTTTTTAACCCCACGCAATAGAAGTTCCAGAAAAAAATTTAAGAAAAACGAGCAGCGTTCACCCCCTCAACTCGCAGCCAGAACAAGCGGCCACGTGATCTGGAGCCGATTATATGCCGCCAGTGTTGATCATAGCCACGCGCTGGGGTTGGCAAAGCGCAGGACACGCGCTGAGTTCCAGGCATTGTTATGGCTCGGCTGTTGTCGTCGTTGCAGCGATTGGACACGGGTCAAAACCCGAATGCTTCTCGAGCTAGCAATTGTCACGAGCCCAAGTCGAGTGCCCACGCAATGCTCGGGTCCAATCTATGAACCGCATTCAAATATCGTCACTTGGGTGTACTGGGACCCCCGAGTTACGTCATCAAATTTTGCAAAGGAGAGATTGAATGAAAAGGATCGCTTTTGTCCTTGAAATTACACCGCAACAAAGGAGTTTCTTGGCCAATGGCGTTGCGTGTGAGTATCCTTGAGTCCCAGGTGTGCCAGTAAGCTCGTGTATAGAGAGATACATTCCAATTGAATATCGTTGCACAGCTCCTTTATATAGAGGAAGCGGCCAAAGGTATTACGCAAAACTGTATCCCCGCACTGAATACCAAATTATGCGTGAACCATGTACGAAAGCGTGCTAGGGAATGGCCATGGCATTGCAGTGTTATTCTTGGGATGCTTTTGTTAATCCTTCGCTCTAAAAATCCGAGTGTTGTGCGGGAAAGTAGACGCACAGACCTTTTTTTAGAGTGTTGTAGAGAGGGCAGCGATTTCATCATTGATTGCACGTTACAAGAAGTGCAGTAGCTTATGACTGTAACGGTTTCGGTATAGCAACTGCGAGTGCTCCTCAAAACAGCGGTCCTTCACAAAGACTAGACCCATTGTGTATGGTAGAAATCGTAATCCATTCTCCATTGATGGCAAGAAAAATTCCCGTGGGAACGACCTATTCCAGGCAGTTGTTGTTAGCGTTGAGGAAATACAGTCATGTCTCGTTAATATGGACCCTTTTAATACGGATACCCCGCTATATGGACACCATTTTCGGGTACAAACTGGGAAGATGGATGGATTTTTGTCTCGTTAAGATGGACAACTCACATTATGCACGATTTTTTTGAGGGAACGGAGGCATCATAATTACCGAGACATCACTGTAGTAGGTGAAGAAGAGTCAATGGTGTACTCTTCTTTTATTTCCTCAACGCTAACAACAACAACAACTGCAATAGGTCGTCTCCACGGGAATTTTCCTTGCCACCGATGGAGACTGGAGTACGATTTCTACCATGTGGATCCTTCTTCAATGCACAAGAAACAGCCGCACGAGAGAGGAAATCAGGGTGTGCGCCTTGGCGTATACCTAGATCATCTGTTCTTATACTGGGTTCTTAGAAACCAGGGGCTCCTCAGGGTGCCCTCAAGGGCACCCTCTTAATTATCGTCCGATCTCAATAACCAGCATTCCTTGCAAACTTCTTGAACATATAATTTTTTCTCACCTTGTCAACTTCTTAGAATCTAACAACTTCTTCAACAATGCCCAACACGGTTTTCGAAAATCATTTTCATGTGAAACCCAACTACTATCTTTCACGAATGACCTACATCACATTCTGGACCGAGGATCCCAGGCGGACTGCATTTTCCTGGACTTCGCCAAAGCATTTGACAAAGTTTCTCACAATCTTCTGCTTCTAAAACTTTCCAAACTTAACATAGACAATAACGTTCTCGCATGGATACAGTCTTTTTTAACTCAACGGTCTCAATTTGTCACTGTGAATAACAATAACTCCTCTTTTGTCAAAGTTGCGTCAGGGGTTCCGCAAGGGACAGTCTTAGGGCCGTTGCTATTCTTAATTTATATTAACGACCTACCCACTAGTGTCTCTTCGTCCGTGTCTCTGTTCGCTGACGACTGTGTACTCTACCGTGAGATTCTCAATCATAATGACACCTGCATACTCCAATCAGACATTAATGCTATTTACCGTTGGTCTGACTCGTGGTCTATGAAGCTTAACACTAACAAATGCAAGGTCATGCGTGTGTCTCGCCAGTCTCAGGACTCTCCTAACTATTTCCTTAATAATGCTCATCTAGAACCGGTATCTTCGTACAAATATTTAGGCGTACATATAGCTTCTAACCTTTCATGGAAAACACATATTCAGCATATTTCAGCTAACGCTAACCGCATGTTAGGTTATATCAAACGAAATTTTTCATTAGCACCTGTCTCACTGAAATTAACTCTTTACAAAGTTTTAATTCGTCCCAAGTTAGAATATGCAGCTTCTGTCTGGCGTCCCGGACTAGTCACTCTCGTATCTACATTGGAAGCCGTTCAGAACAGATCCGCTCGTTTCATCCTCACAAACTATCACCGCACCGCTAGCGTCACCTCTATGAAAACAACTCTCTCATTACCACCTTTATCTCTACGTCGTAAAATTTCTCGTCTTTCCCTATTCCATAAGATATATCACCATAATTCTTTCCTGCGCGACAAAATAATTGCTCGGCCTGTCTATGTTTCCTCCCGTCTTGATCATCAACATAAGGTGGGCATTCCTAACTCTGTCATGACCACGTTTTATTCATCTTTCGTTCCCCGTACATCCCAGGAGTGGAACCACCTTCCCCGGTCGATCGCCATTATCACGGACTCTGAGCTCTTTAAAAGTACAATAACTAATTACTTTATTACTGAGTGTGTCTAAATATGTATTATGTTATTTGCATTAACCTTCTTGTTGCTCTCCCCCTCTGTAATGCCTTCGGGCCCTGAGGGTATAATAAATGAAATGAAATGAAAGGGTTCCCCTAGTTCCCAAATTTCCTCGCTCTTTCCCGCCTATCAGTACGGTGTTCTTCCAGCTTCAGTACATGGACCATCGATCGATGCTTAACTGTGAGCCCAACACTCCCTGGTATATGCATCACTCTGTACAAGGTCTGTCCTGCACTGCTTTATTTCATCAATGCAAGGCAGGGAGGGCTTCGTCGGCTATCAATCGAGGTAGGTGTTTCTCGAGATTGGAAAGAACCTGCCCTAGATGGAGTAAGTGTTGGGAAGTAAGTAAGATACATTACTTTAAGAAGGTCTAGAATGCTTGTACTTTACCTGAAGTACATCCTCTTAGTACGTACTTGTACTTTACTTAAAGTATTTTTTCTCGTGCTTTCCGGGAAAAGAGCAACTCTCGACATCAAAGTACGTTTGATCTTGTTAAATTTGGTCTTGTTGAATTTGATTACAAAATGATGCTTCGTCAACTTTGAAGCCACCTTATCTAATATTTGCCGCCAATTCCGAAAATAACTAATGCACCACCTATTACCCCTAAGGCAATGCATGCCAGTCAAAGCAAAAAAACCAGTCGAAGTCACATGTGGTGGTTTGACGTGCCAAACCAATGAAGAACATCTAGCATGCACCAGCGAATGACTGAGGACTAATTAGGACCACCTAGGCATCTTTTGACGTGCAACTGAAATATCGATTACACACATACGGTGCCTTCTTCGCAATAAGCATTCGTCAGGAAAAGCGAACAAACAAAACACTGTTTAAGTCAAATTTGGAGGTTTTACGTGCCAAACCAATGAAGGACATCTGGCGCGTTCCAGCGAAAAACTGAGGATTCATTTCGGCCATCTGAGGTTCTTTTGACGTGCAACCGAAATCTCGATTACCACGTCAAAAACACGGTCGAAGTCAACTTTCGATGTTTTACGTGCCAAATCAATTAAGGACATCGGGCACGCCCCAGTGAAGGACTAGGGATTTATTTTGGTGACCTGGGGATCTTTTGACGTGCAATCGAAATCTCGACTACTAGGTGATCAAATGTGAAAACCTTTTTTGGGAAGTGAATATTGCAATTCTTTTAAGTGTTTCCACATTAAAGCTCGATCTGCGCGAAACAAAGTAGACGAGCTTGACTTAATTTTTGGTCAACTCAAACCTTTGATTGATATAATTATGCTTTCAGAAACGTGGTTTACGAATACTACTGACGTGTTAAAGTTGCCGGTGTATAACAGCTTTTTTTTTTTTTAATCGCACGGCGTCTCGGGGAGGTGGCGTGGCTGCTTGAACTCTAACATGAGTCTGCAGTATTTATAAATAAATAAATAAATCATCGGACATTTCCTGTGAGATGCTCACTGATTATTGTTGTGTTCATAAAGATTACGAGATGATTTCCTTAG